CAGCACACAGCCTTTCTCATTTCATGAGTCTAGAGTCCTGAGCTGCTCTGTTTCTCCATGTCATCATCTCTGTCTCCATCTCTGGTGTCACTGCTTCTCTGGATAGTGTCCCACATTCCACACATGTTCTTCTCCTTTGATGGTCCTAGGATCTTCCGTTCTTGAAATGTAAGATTAACTACTAACCCCTTTATGTTACAAAACTTCTACTTTTACAGTTGTGACAATCACAATTCATCATGATAATTACTCACTGTTGAATCTTATCCCCATCTCTTTTCACCAGACCTATCTAGACAAGATGAAAACTATTCAGTGCGGCTTCTACCTTCCCACACACACTATAAAATTAAACTCCCTCTTGAAAATGTGTAAGCCAGTCACTTTGTGCCTTTATAAACCCCCCCCCCCCGCCCCATTTTAGGTAGCTAATGTCTAAGTTGCCCATCTCTATCAACCCTATGTACAGAGGGGTTAGATGTAATCCTTGATGTGAAGACTCCTTCCCTGTCAGTTGGTATTTTGAGCTACTGCATCCATAAGTGGAGTCCTGGTGTGGTACTGTGGGTTAATGTGCCAGACTGCAAAGCCATTTGAACTGCAAGGTCAGCGGTTCAAGCTCACCAGTCACTCCTCAGAAACCCTATCCAGGGTCGCTAAGGGTCGGAACGGACTCAATGACAATTACCAATAACAACAACATCCATAAGTGTCGGTCAAGTTCATCAGATGGTAGCAATTTACACTTGTTTCCTTTATCAAATTTCTTTTATCTTCCTCTAGTCGAGTTCTGATCATCCAGCCATCAAAGCTAGGACAAATGGGCACTATCTGCAAGTTTTGGCATTCTTGTGCATCTCCCCTCACTTCATATCAGCTGAACGTTTCACTCTCAGCTCTAGCCTTTTCAATTTACTTTGACATCTCTGTGCTGGAGAGTAAGTTTCATTGTCTCTTCTGACATTCATTTTGGTGTTTTTTTTCTTTCCTGTGTTTTTAATAACCTTTTGCTTTTCTTCCTGTATGATGTTCTTGATGCCATCCCATAGCTCTTCAGTCATTTGTGCCTAATGTATCTAATCTGTTCTTGAGATGGTGTACAAATTCAAATGGGATTTATTTAGTGTCCTTTCTCGGCTCTTGTAGACTTGTTTTAATTTTCTTCAGTTTTAGCCTGAACTTGAATATGAACAGTTGATGGCCTATTCCATACTGTCCCTGACCTTGTTTTAGCTGATGATACTGACCTTTTCCACTCTCTCTTCCCATAGGAATAGTCAATTTGAATCCTGTGTATTCCATCTGGTAAGGTCCACGTGTATAATCACCATTTATATTATTTTAAAAAAAGTATTTGCAGTGAAGAAGTCATTGGTCTTACAAAATTCTATCATACAATTCCCAGCATTGTTTCTATCACCAAGGCCATATTTTCCAACTACTGATCCTTCTTAGTTTCCGACATTCACATCCCAATCACCAGTAATTAGCAATACATATTGATTGCATGTTTAATCAATTTCAGACTGAAGAAGTTGGTAGAATTCTTCAATTTCATCATTACTGGATTTAGTGATTGGTGCATAAATTTGAATAAGAGTTGTATTAACTGGTCTTCTTTGTAGGCATAATGAATATTATAGTATTACAGACAGTATACTACTTTCAAGATAGATCTTGAAATGTTATTTTTGATGATGAATATGATACCATTCCTCTTCAATTTCTTGTTCGTGGTATAGTAAACCATACAATGTTTAGATTCATGGTCACCAGTACTAGTCCATGTCAGCTCACTAATGTCTAGAATGTCAGCCTTTTTGTGTTCCATTTCATTTTTGGCAACTTACAACTTTCCATTCATATGTTCTGATTAGTAGTGGGTATTTGCAGCTGTTTCTCCTCATTTTGAGTTGTTCCCCATCAGCAAATGAAGATCTTGAAAGCTTTACTCCATTCGTGTCATCATGGTCAGCTCTACTTTGAGGAGGCAGCTCTTCTCCAGTCGTATTTTGAGTGCCTTCTCACCTGAGGGGCTCCTTTCCTGGCATTGTATATGAGAAGATTCATGTTTTCATCTTTCAGCACTATATCTGATAACGTTCTGTTACTATTCTGAAGATTTTAAGTGGTGAAACACTCATTAGTGGTCCACCTCTCCTTTCTAGTCTCTTAGTCTGGAAGTCCCACTGAAACCTGTTCATTATGGGTGACCCTGCTGATATGAAATATACCGGTGATATAGTGTCCAGCATTACAGCAACACGTATGCCACTACAGTATAACAAACTGATATATGACCTGTTGTTATTGTTGTTGCTAAGTGCCATCGAATCATTCTGACTCATAGTGACCCTGTATAAGGTGTCCGTAGAGCAGCTTGTGAATTTGAACAACTAACCTTGTGGCTCAAACCAACCTTGCAGTCCAGTGTATTATTCCACAGCACCATACCAGGACTCCTGTGGTGATCATTTTTTATGTATTACCAATTTTTAAAAAGTCTTCTTTATTTTCTACTGAAAAAATCTTTCTGAGACATCTGCTTCCTCCTACAATGTCCAGTCTTGGTCTTAAAATCAGTGATTGTTTTTTTTTTTTCTCTTTTTCTTTCAGATTTTGTTTCAGGAGTTCCACGAGCAGCAAGGACTTTGGGAATGGTAGGAAAGTTAAAGGATGTTTTGAAAATTGCTGGGTTATCTTATATTTTACTAGATTTCATATATTTTCATTTTTCCTGTATAGGTTTGTATTTATGATGGGGAAAACATGTCTTCCTTACACAATTTTACTGGTGAGCAGGTATGTTTTCAAAATATTTTTCCTCTTCTGATTATAAAAGTAGTCTGTATTCATGGGAACAATTTGGAAAAAAAAAAATATGATAGTCAGCTATAATTCTATCAAGCAGAGATAATCACTCTTACAATTTTGGTGTATGAGGGAGAATTAAAAAGTATTGCACCAAAATCATAGAAACCTTATTTAACAAAACTACCAAACTGTAAAGCTATTGCTTCTTGACATCTACGCCGTCTAGCTTTCTATACTTCTTAAAATGGTGCTTCCATCTCGCTAATCCTTCCCTGAAGAATTCTGAGCTCTTCAATTTATACCACAAACTGGTGGTTTTGGCATCCTCAGGAGACTCATGTGTTCCTTTTAAATGTTTTTTGAGCTGGGAGGACAGAATAAGTATGAAAGGACAAGATCAGGGCTATAGGGTGGATGGGATAAGATTTCCCAATTAAATTTTCTAAGGTCAGCCGAGGGTAGAAATAAAAATTCTCAGGACAACCTTCCTGGCCTTTTTCTCACCAATATAATTTTCAATTTTCTTAAAACTTATTCCTAATAAGACCTCTTGCTTATACTGTTACTTAAAAAAATGAAAAAATCAAGATGACCCTTTTGGGGTCCCCAAAACAGTCATAGTCACTGTGACCTTCTGAAAGTTAAATTCAACTGACCCAACATAGCCTCTCAGAAGCCACTGTTTCAGTTAGACCTTTTTTCTTGAGGGTACCATAACAAGACTAAGACAGATACATTACTGAGAGAATTTATTTGCAGCTATCCACTGACCACAGAGAGTTATGTGAAAACACATTTTGGGAGGAGAATAAGGCCATGAACTGAAACCCTAGTATAACAGTACTTTTTGTCCTAGCCTTGTGTTTCTTTGTCTGTTTGAGTGTGTGAATATATATATATATATTTAATTGATTCACACTATATTTTAAGTTTTATATGTTACTTTTTTTTTTTAACGTAACACTTCATTGTTTCTTGTTATTGTTAGTGCCATTGAGTAGGTTCCAACCAATAGCAACCTAGTATAGGGTTTCCAAGGAGCAGCTGGTGGGATTTGAACTGCTGAACTTGTGGTTCAAACTGCCCTTGCAGTCCAGTGCATTATCCTGCAAAATCAAAATGGTCTCATAATATTCAACATTATATATATTTAAAATAATCTCAGTATTCAACATTATAAATATTAGTTAGACTTTAAATATTTCACTTTTGTTTAGATGAAAGTAATTTGTTTGAATAAAACCTTTAGATTTCATAATATATCTGGAGTTGTTTGTCTGTTTGATTCAGGTACTTTTTAAGAAAATCAAATGAAATTGTATACAGTATGTTGTACACACCAATCCTCAATAATTTTCCTTTTCTTTGATGATGAAATTAAATTTTAATTTAATGTATACCTTAATTTTAAGTAGATACATAATAAAGATCATACAGACATGTATATTATAGATACTATAACTTCGTATTTTTAAACCATATGAAATAACACATTCTCCTGTTAAAGAGTAATAGTTTTAGGTTCTAGCTGTTCTCTGGGCATTTTATATAATTCTGCGTTGTTTGTTACAGAGAATTAAATGATAAGTTAATAATGATAAAGGAATAAGCAATAGATAAAAAACCAATGATCAGTTGCAGACTCTTAGGCTCTAGGAGAAGATCAACAGCAGGAGAAACTAGACTCATAGCACCCAGAGGCCCCTCCCACTTTGTCAGTCAGCTTGGAGTGACCTATGTTTGGCAGTCAGGTTTTGATTGTCAAAAATGGTCATTCTTCTGTGTCTTGGAGACTTCTTCATCTCTAACAGTTTTTGTCTGTCTGTCCATGTGCCAATCTCTGAGTTATTTTGTATGCTTTCTGTACCTTAGTCATTTTGTGGAGGGAAAAGGCATGGGCTTTATATTAGGACATACCTAACTCTACATTTGGTCTGTTACTGCAACAGACAAAACATTGACCATTGTAGATCTGGTTCCTCATTTATAAAAATTGGGATATTTATTGTTCAACTTCTTCATGGGGATCTTGTGAGAATCAAATGAATACACCTCTGCCATAGGGCCCAAGATAAAGCTTGCCCCTGTAAATGCCATCCGTTCTTTGCACTTTCAAGGCAAACACTGTTGAGAGTGGCTCCAAAATAGTTTTTTGATACATCCTAATCAACTGGTACCCCAGACAAGTATACTTTGTAACGCATCCTCTGATTTTGTGATTAAATATAGACTATGCCTTTCATTTTCTCAATCACACTGTACCTCCCAAAATAGATAGTGTAGGAATCTCCCTTATTATTCCCTCTTGATATCTCTGCTAATAAAATTTTACAAGCGTTCCTAACTTTCCTTTTTGTGTGTGGGTTTTTTTTGTTTTTTGTTTTTGACTCATTCTTTACCTTGGTTCAACTTTAATTTGTCGTCGTTCCGAGTTTTATTTTGTTTTGGGGGTTTATTTATTTCTAGACAGACTGCTCTGTCTCTGATGGCCAGCTTCCACCATGATGGGAAAGAGGACTTCTACCCATAATAAACCTGTAACAAACTCAGATGTATTTGAACACAATGACTTCATGTAATTCAAAAGCAACAGGACATTGGCAAATAATTGGCTGAGTTATAAGACAAGAACTACCTTCTTTCTGTACCTTTCCAAACAGCAATTTCTCTAAGGTAGTCTTAGTTTGACATAAGAGAGGCCGCTTTCAGTTTATTAGTAATTGTTGTGAATTATCCTCACTGCGTAGATATTCATACATAACTTCTTGGATTCCATTTAAATGTCTGTCTGCAACTGTATATCAAATCTGTCGTATGTCTGCTGGTGTCTGGAGTGTTTGGGGTAGTGTAGAAGAAGAAGATAATGGAAAGGAAATTTTATTTTATCCTTGTCTTTAAATGGCATGTGTTGAAGATTCTGGTATGATATGTATGCTATGTTTTGTCCATGAATCTAGGCAAATAACATGCCTCATTACCTGATTGTCATTGTATTGTAGTTGATGGTGGTTTGCCATCGAGTCAGTTCTGACTCAACAGTGAACCTTTGTAGGGTTTTTAAAACTGTGTATCTTTACGAGAACAGAAAGCATCATCTTTCTCTCATGGAGAAGCTGGTGGATTCAAACCGCTGACCTTGCAGTTAGCAGCCCAATGTGTAACCTACTACACAACCAGGGCTCCTTATTGTGTTGGTAGAATAACTAAAGGAGAAGACATTTAGATGGAAGAACTATATGCAAAGGAAAAAAAAAAATTAATGTAAACATTACTACATGTGTTAATTGTCTAAACTTGTTGGATGAAATGTAAACATTTCATTTTCGTCCTGTTTTCCAGATGGCTGCATATTTCGGATTTTCTGTAGCTGCCACTGACATTAATGGGGATGAGTACGTTTACAAAAATGTTCCTAGAAACTGTTTATGAGCACTTTACTAAAACTAAAGATTTTTCTCCTATTTCTCTGTCTCCTTGCTAATCTGTCTACTTAAGAAACCAAAAGTAGCCTAAATCATGAATATTAGACAATTTCTATATTTGTCATAATTTCAACTTTTATGCCATCAAAGAATAAGATAACTGTTGCTGTTTTAAAATAGTTAAAAGAATTTAAGTTAATTGCTCTGATAACCATTTTATACTTCAGAATGACTGTGTGAGAGATGTGGAAAAGGGAAACTGATATTTAATAGGAAAGAACATGATATTAATAATAATTGAATTTCATCAAGCTTTGGTGAAATATTTATGTTCTTTCAGTTATGCAGATGTGTTTATTGGAGCACCTCTGTTCATGGACCGGGGCTCAGATGGCAAACTCCAAGAGGTGGGGCAGGTCTCAGTGTCTCTGCAAAGAGCTTCAGGAGACTTCCAGACGACAAAGCTGAATGGATTTGAGGTCTTTGCAAGGTTTGGCAGCGCTATAGCACCTTTGGGAGATCTGGACCAGGATGGCTACAATGGTAAGATCAAAGTTTGGCAACTGAGTCCCTGGTTGTCTTTGGTCACCTGGAAACCTTGTTTGTAGAATTTTACTAGAAGGACTGAAAGGCATGCTGCTTCCAACCCCCACCTCCACACCCCCCATTGCTTCTAATTTTATCCAAATTACAGCATTGGAATGGTGAATTTCTGAAAGAAGTCTTTTTGCCCTATTTGTAAAGTGCTAGGCTAGGATTTTCTGTGTCTCTATGCGCAGGTAAGGAGTCAGTTCAAATCCTGCAGCCACTCTTATGGAGAAAGACAAGCATTTCTTCTTCCGTAAGATACGGAAGTTTAGGAAACGCTATACAATGTGGCTGAGACAGAATCCAGTCAATGGAAGGGAGTTGGGTGAGTTCTGTGCCCTGCTTAGCAGCAGTGCCCTCTACTCTCCATTTATCTGCAACGTAAAACTTGCTCCTAATACACTGTCTGCCGGGCTGAATCCTGACCACAGTACTGTATGACTAGATGATCGGAACACCTATCACCATCTCATCCTAATATGCATGTATGAGCATTCTCCAAGGGAAGGATGACTTATTTTTGGACCTGAAACAAATTCTGAGATACCTATGAGTAATCTGATGTACTGGCCTTTTGTCTAGCTGACCAGCTTCAGCCTTATTCCTTTTCACTGAAAAGCAGCTTACTCTGGACTGTCTAGCTTTCTCTGGGCCACCTTTATTTGCTTTTCACAACAAAGTTGTGATGGCACATTGAAATCTGCTTTCACCTTCCTTCGTATAAAGGAGAGCAGTGTAGTTGAAAGATCCAGAAGAAAGGAGAAGCCAAGGACTCCTTTATGAAAAGACTACATTTTTCCCTAAAATTCAGTAGATCCCTGTGGCTGTGTGCCATGGAGTCAGTTCTGACTCATAGCAACCCTGTGCATGGTTTCCAAGGCTGTAAATCTTTACAGGAGCAGAAAGCCTCATCTTTCTCCCGCGGGAACAACTGGTAGTTTCAAACTGCTCACCTTGCGGTTCGCAGCCCAATTCATAACCACTACGCTACCAGAGATCCTTGTAGATAAAATAATTTATTTGCCAGTTCTGTGCTTCATTTTGAGGAATTACTATCCTATACAACTATTTCTTTATTAATTATTAGTGATATTTAAAATTTTTATTTCAACCACTGTTTTCCATTCTAGTTTAAAAATATAAAATGCATAGGACTTCTCTTACTTTCACTTAGTTAATACTCTGATTGGAGCACAGTGGGTCATTAGGATAAGCACTGGATTGTTAACCAAAAGGTCCGCGGTTTGAGCCCACCAGCCACTCCGAGGGAAATGATGAGACTTTCTGTCCTCTGAAGATTTACAGCCTCAGAAACCTACACGGTGTTGTTATAAGTCAGAACGACTCAGTGACACTTAACAGCAGCAGTACATGTCCAGAATGACTCTAATATAGACCTCACATATATCTCAAAAGTAGTGGGTTGATTTAATAATTTTAAAGCTTTAACTTTGTTCTGCATGTCTAAAATAATTTGAACTGCAAGGTCAGCAGTTCAAACTCACCAGCCGCTCCTTGGAAACCCTATACAAGGTCGCTATGCGTCAGAACCCACTCGACGACACTTAACAACATTTCCCTTGTATCTCCCTTCATGTGGGACATGTTAAAGATGTAATCCCCTAGTTCCATTTCAGTAATTGCACACATCTTTAAAAATAAAGTCAACTTTTATTGTAGAATACTTTCCTGAGACATTAAAAGTAGACTGCAAATCACCAAGATATATATATATATATAAATACTATTAAAAACCTTTCTAGAGATCACAGAATGGAAATTTTTGACTATTGGCTTATTAAGTTGCTGTTGTTAAGTGCCATCAAGTCAGTTCCAACTCATAGCGACCCTGTATAGGATTTCCATTGGAGCAGCTGGTGAATTTGAACCACTGATCTTGTGGTTCAAACCGACATTGCAGTGCAGTGCATTAGCCCACAGTAGTAGAAAAAAAGGAGTCCTGGTATGGCACTGTAAGATAAAGAACTGGACCTCAAGATCAGCTTGATCCACAAGGTTGGTGGTTCAAACTCACCATCCACTCCTCAGAAACCTATTCAGGGTTGCAATGAGTCGGAACTGACTTGAAGGCACTTAACAACAAAAACAGTAGGAAGACATGGATTTGCTTGATAGTTGTATGTCGTGTACTAAAAATGGCCATCTCTACGATTATCCTTAAAAGTTATTAGTTGAGACTACTCAAAGGCACAATTTGCTCTCTAAAATTGAGTCGTACAATTTTTTACCACCAAGAGAATTTAGCATACATTGAGTGAATCATTGGATAGAAAGGTAACAATAGAAATTGAGAATAATACTATAGAACAGACCAAACTATTACTCATTAATAACAAAAACCAGCCAGAAAAGAAAGGGTCAGGTTTTAGATTTTAGCCTAATTAGTGACTTCTCCACAATAGATCAGTCTCTGTCTTCCAGGGTTGTTTGGAGACATTTCCTGGCATGTTACGTGGCTGTGGTGTAATGTTTAGGGTATTTTATCCACTTCAAGAAGGAGCTCTGGTAGCATAGTGGTTACAAGTTGGACTGCTAACTTCAAGGTCAACAGTTTGAAACTATCAGCTGTTCCGCAGTTGAAAGATGAGGCTTTCTGCTCCTATAAAGGTTTACAGCCTTGGAAACCCTATGCAGGGTCGCTGTGAGTCAGAACCGACTCCATGGCACACCACCACCATTCACTTCAAGGGAATCTTCCTCACTGTCATGGTCAGCCTACATCTCATCCTGCTTTCTGTTTTGTTGTTGTTAAAATGTGTTATTTGCTGTCACAACAAGTATAATGAATAACAAGGAGAAAAAGGTTTTATAGAGATTTTACCAGAGCTACATTAAGGATAAGGAGCTCTAGTAACGTAGTGGTTACAAGTTGGGCTGCTAACTTCAGTTCGAAACTACCAGCTGTTCCGCAGTTGAAAGATGAGGCTTTCTGCTCCTATAAAGATTTACTGTCTCGGAAACACAATGCATGGTTGCTATGAGTTGGAACCTACTCCATGGCACATAACAACAACAACATTAAGGATAGACACCAGAGAGGCAGTTTATGGTCTTCCATGGTTTCTCCATGGATCTTGTTGTGAAAGATAATATCTTAGGGGGGAATGATCTGAGGTGTTTTCATGTATTTATGGGTAACAAGCTCTTAATTATAATCTGTATCTTTTCTTGTTCATACCTGAAGACCTTAATCCTTTGTTGATTTTATATTGCACCCTTTCCAGCTCCTCCAAGTACAAAAACTCTGGATATCACCACCAAGGGGGTTACCAAAAACAAAACAATAACACTAGCTCCTCACTGTTATATAACCTTGAGGTAATTATCTGCAGTTTTGATCAGTTACTTAAGAAAGAGAAGGAAAGAATGGAACAACAACAACAAAAATCCCAGAAAATAGCACCTAAAATGATCAAAGGATACTCTAGATTACATGAAGAAATAGAACTCTCCTATTAAATAAGTGTGGCTCTGTGGGTTAATGCGCCAGACTGCAAAGCTGTTTGAACTGCAAGGTTGGTGGTTCAGGCTCACCAGCCGCTCCTCGGAAAACCTATTGTTGTTGTTGTTGTTATGTGCCGTGGAGTCGGTTCCGACTCATAGCGACCCTGCACAGGGTTTCCCAGGCTGTAAATCTTTACAGGAGCAGACTGCCTCATCTTTCTCCCGCGGAACAGCTGGTAGTTTCGAACTGCTGACCTTGTGGTTCGCAGCCCGATTCGTAACCACTACACTACCAGAGCTCCTATACAGGGTCATTATGGGTCGGAACTGACTTGACAGCACTTAACAACAACACATTAAATAAGTGGCAGCCTCAAGATAGATAATTAGAATGTACAAAAAATGAAATGTTTGGAAGAGGTCCATATAATTTTCATTAAACCATATCTTAACACTAAAGCCAGCATCTTCTGTTGGGGGGAATTGTATTTTAATAAATACATTCTTATGCATGTATCGGGGAGTGCGGTGGCTCCAATAGCCACCAGACTAGGAACCACAAGGTCCACTGTTAAAACCTGCCATCCACTCCTCGGGAGATAGATGAGGCTCTATCTGCTCCTGAGCAGATTTAAAGCCTTGGAAACCCTATACAGGATTGCTAGTGAGTCCGAACTGACTCGACAGCTCTTAACAACAACATTGCACATATCGAGTTAGAAGTTATCTTTCAAAGCTTAAAAAAGATAAAGAAAAACTCTCTTGCATAGTTGATATACTCTTTTTTTTTTTTTTTTAAGGGTAGGGAATTTATTCATTCAACAAATTCTTAGTTGGTGCCCACTGCAGACAAATCACTGTTCCAGATGTTGAAAATGAGAGATTAAATTAGAGTCAATTTGTGTCCTTAAGGACCCAGCATTCAGTAAAATAATCTGTAATCAAGTAAACGGAGCCCTAGTGTGGCGCTGTAGGATAAGCACTGGACCACAAGATTGGTTTGAACCACAAGGTCAGCAGTTCAAACTCACCAGCCACTTCTCAGAAACCCTAAACTGACTCAACAGCACTTAATAACAACAACAATCAAGTAAACACTAGAATTTAGTAATCCCAGTGTTTATGCTGTTCCAGGGCATAGTGGTCTTATAAAGGATGAGTGATTAAGGTGTCTTCGATGTCTCAGGGGATGTGTCATTGAGGAGATACAAAATAATTTGGGTTTAATAAAGAAATCGAGATATTTTGGTATGACTGGTTGTTAGGGTCCATGATAGGCACGATCTTTGCTCTCCAAAAGCTTACATTTGTGTGACGGAAACAGAATAAATCCCTAAACAAATATGAGAAAAATTCACATAGTGATAGAGGTTGTGGAGTCTCCCCTTTCTCTCTGTCCACAAAGGCAGGGTGATGTGCTTGGGAACTGATGGATAGAGGGTCAAAAAGGGTAGTGTGCATTTGTGTCGTAGCAGGGAGCCAGAGAAGATCTCTCTGAGGAGATGGCATTTGATCTACATTAGGGACAAAACTTGAAAAGCTGTATAGCAAATCAGTCACCTGTGTGCCCAGAGATGGGAACTTGCTCCATATGTTTAAGAAATAGGAAAGTAGGCCAGAGGTACCAGGGTAGTGAGTAGAGGTAGAGTAACAATGTGGAGACAGGGAACAAGATTTACAGGTTCAGCAGTTAGTCAGACCAGGTAGTATTAGGTCTTACTCTATAGCTTTTGGAAATAACTGTTTAACATTGACACTTTCAAGAGAATGGGTTAAAGGAAAAGAGTTTAAGTGAGAGGCCATACTATAATAGGGTGCTTGAAGGTCTAGACAATGTATGGGAATGGGTTGTCTAGGGTGGTAGCTGCAGAGATAGAAAGATGCAGATACAAAGAGGTACAAAGGTCAGAGTGACTTTTTTTGTTTTTTTTCTCAGTTTATTGTATGAAGGAGTTACAGTCGTCAATGTTAAAAGTGGACCCCCAAATGGATATATTAGACAAGCTGTGAGGTTTTAAGCTTCTAACAAGAGACAGAAGGAAATTTTCTACTAATTGCAAGGAAATCCAAATCCTCACTTAAGCTTCAGTGAGCCACAAGCGCTTAAAACCCATGAACCTTCAGCTGGTTGTCCTTAGCCAGTCCAGTCTCTACAAGTAACTGGAATATGTTCTTGTGCTGGTCACCCTTTAGCTGAATTACTTGTTAATAATCTGAATGCACAATTACCCTACCATTGCATGCAAATTTCTTCTTAAATGCCTTCACTAGTTTCTTTTTATCATAATCACCAGTGATCACTTGGACAGTAGTAAAGGTCTTCCTGCCGTTTCTCTGTTAAATTCTTACATGAATATAATCCTCTGTCCCAGCTCGGTCCCAGCAGGAAGCAGGTCGTCACCCTTGCCTCAACAAAGGGGTTGAAAGATAGGAGATTCTGGATAGCAGACATACAGTACAATTCCTTTTCCTCATTGGAAAGATCTGTGGAAGTCGAGGGTGTAGGATGCGGGGCATGGAGCCTCAGGAAGTGAGGAGGCTCAAGGAGGAGTTGACTTGAGTCCTCAGCAGCAGCACAGGGACTGGTACTGACTTCTTAAAAAAAAAAAAATTTCAAAATTATTTGTTTACATTATTTTAGTACTTTCTGTTGTTACGTGCTGTAGAATGGGTTCTGGCTCATAGCAACCTTGGACACGGTTTCCAAGGAGCAGCTGGTGAGTTTGAACCTCTAACCTTACAGTTCAAACTGACCTTACAATCCAGTGCTTATCATACAGTGCCACACCACATGTTAAACAAGACCAAATTGAAATCATGAAGAAGTTGTTGAATGAGTATAGATTTTGTTGTGTATATATTCTCAACAAAATATACAATTAAAAATGTATTTAAGGGGCCATCAAAAAGTTTATGGAAAAATGGAATTGAAAGATTTGAAATTTTTCCACAAACTTTTTGAAGCACCCTGATATACTGATGTTTGATATCTTCTTCATTGAAATTGTGAAGAATTGCTAAAATTCACTAATTTAGAATCTCTCAACAGGAAAGTAAGTAATCTACATTAAGAAAATAATAAGTACCTGTCATTCTCATGCATACTATAGTTGGATAGCTATTGATTAAGGTCTTCTGTCAATAATAAAACATTTGTAGACTAACATTCTGGTTCATACACAAAGCAGTGAGTGTGCAGTGAAACCACCTCAGAGGATCTATGATGGGTTGAATTGTGTCACAGTAAAACATATGAGGAGTCCTGGTGTGGCACTGATGATAAGCACTGGACTACTAACTAAAAGTTCAGTGTTCAAACTCACTAACTGCTCCTTGTATGCCCTATACAGGGTCGCTGTGATATGTGCAAGTCTTCAAACTCCCCATCATTCCTCCCCTGCCGCCCATGAATGTGACTTTGTTCGAAAATAGGGTCTGTACAAAAAGTAATTTAATATGTAGCTAAAGGTGAAATCATACTGTAATAGGTGAACCTAAATCCAATCTAGAATTTTAACTAGAAATTTGAGAGCTGGAATTAGCCTTAGATCTTTTGAAAATCTCACCCAACTGCAATTTTAAATATGAAGCAATTGAGGTCCAGAAAAATCAGATCTAGAAGATGTGGTCCAAATTAATGTCATTACTACACAGTTTCTCTTGAGTCTCCTTGAATTAAATTGTTGCTTTTGAATGAAGAGTATTCTGCTGAACTTTGAATTACTATTTATCATGTTAAGTGTATTCTATAATGTTAGGCTCTATCATATTCTATAAATACAGGTTCTAAGGCTTTCTTGTTCACCTTCCTTGCCCTCTTCTTTTCCTCCCCTCTTTCTCTCACTCTCCCCATCTCTCACCTTGTCTTCTCCCTTTTTACTTCTCCATTCCTTTCTCTTCCCCTCCTCTTTTTCCCCCCCACAGATATTGCAATTGCTGCTCCATATGGGGGTGAAGATAAAAAAGGAATTGTTTATGTCTTCAATGGAAGATCAACAGGTTTGAATGTGGTACCTTCTCAAATCCTTGAAGGGCAATGGGCTGCTCGGAGCATGCCACCAAGTTTTGGCTATTCTATGAAAGGAGCCACAGACATAGACAAAAATGGATATCCAGGTATATCTATTTATAGTTATTATGCTTATCAGTCCTATTGTTACTTGCTACTCTGTATTAAAAATTAACTGTATTATAAATCATCTCAATTCAGTATTTGAAATAGTGATCAAACCCCCAACATATTCACTGCGTTTGGTGCTGTGGGTTAATGTGCTGAACTGAGCTTAAACTGCAAGCTGACCAGCTGCTCCTTGGAAACCCTTTCCAGGATTGCTATGGGTCGGAACTGACTCTAAGACACTTAAAAACAACATTCTCATCATTGAAGGGAATACAAAAGAAAAATAGCTCAATTTCCTGGGAGTTTACAATAGAAAGACATACTCTTACTAAGTTTCTTCTTCTGTTGTCTTGAAGCTATAATGAAATGTCAGAGAAACATGTAGAAACCACAGATAAAAGTCAAATGCTCATTTGGAGTTTTTAAATTGTTAGCCATGTTTTTTGAAAGACCTAGCGTGTTTGGCGGTGACTAATCATTGAAGCCTTTGAAAACGTATTTTAAATTTGTGTATTATTTAATTCTCTCTGTATGCCTTCTGAAGAATGAAAGCTAGTTTATCTCATTTTCCAGATGAGAAAAGAGATAGAGAAAGGTAATTTACCCAAAATTTCCCCTGTATTTGAGTCAGTAGGAAAAGCTGGATCTTTTTCAGACTCCTTTGTGTTTTAGAGTTTCATAATGAATCTAAGAATGAAGAACTCCCTTTTATTTAAATGAATACAATATAAAAAGTATATAGATTACATTTTTAGTAATCTAAGGATCTCTGGTAGCATAGTGGTTACGAATTGGGCTGCTAACCTCAAGGTCAGCAGTACAAAACTACCAGCTGTTCCGCAGGAGAAAGATGAGGGTTTCTTTTCCCGTAAAGATTTGCAGCCTCGGAAACCCTGTGCACGGTTGCTATGAGTTGGAAACGACTCCACGGTGCACCACCACCACCAGTGCTGTATAACAGAAATATCACAAATAGATGGCTTCAACAAACAGAAATTTATTCTCTCACAGTTTCAGAGGGTAGATGTATGAATACAGAACACTGGTTTGGGAAAAAGGTTGCCTTTCGGCATAGCCTCAACAGTCGTTGAAAATCTCCCTGTGTCTGGGCATCAGTCTTTTCCTACAACTAGGAGCTTCCCAGTGCAGGAATGCACTCCACTCTGGCTCTTCTTTCTTGGTGGTAGTAGGTCTTCCTTTCTCTACTCACTTCTCTCTCCTTTTATCTTTTTGTAAGATGAAGATGTTGCAGACCATATGCCCAAGATATAATCTCCTTTCAATTGATTGGCTACTGATAACAGATCCCATCATGGAGGGGATTACGTCTTCACTGCCAAATCACTGAGAATCCTGGCTCAGCCAAGTTAACACAAAACTCTAACCATCACATTTACCCTGTTGTTGAAAGAGTTAATGTGGACTCTATATAAGCGTATCTTGAAGTGTTTTTAGAAATAGGACCTGAAATAAATTATCTAAAAATTAGTGTGATTTCAGCGAAGCTTTTGTTTTTATCATTAAAAATGCAATATAGTTGTTATTTTGTCTTGCATATATAAAGAAAGAAAAGACCAAAGTGAATGTCAGAAGAGACTCTGAACTTGCTCTTGAATGTAGAGAACTTAATGAAATTGGAAGAAATGATGGAGACTTCCCATGATTACTTATAGACCAGAAATTGGAGGACTTAATTCTCTTTTCTGTCTTGCAAGATAGCAGGTGAAAAGGCTGAGAAGTTGGCTACCAAGGTGAAGAAGCCTGAAGTCAAAAAAGCAGATGCCAGTGGCAAAGCTAAGAAGGCTAACCTCAAGGCCAAAAAACCCAAGCAAGGGAAGCTGCACTGCAGCCGAAATCCTATCCTAGTCCGAGGAATTGGCAGGCATTCCCGATCAGCCATGTATTCTAGAAAGGCCATGTACAAGAAGAAGTATTCAGCTGCTAAATCCAGGGTTGAAAAGAAGAAAAAGGAGAAGGTTCTTGCTACTGTCACAAAGCCAGTTGGTGGTGACAAGAATGGTGATACCTGAGTGGTTAATCTGCACAAAATGCCTAGGTATTACCCAACTGAAGATGTCCCTAGGAAACTGTTGAGCCACGGCAAAAAACCCTTCAGTCAGCATGTCAGAAGACTGCGGTCCAGCATCACTCCTGGGACCATTCTGATCATCCTCACTGGGCGCCATCGAGGCAAGAGAGTGGTTTTCCTGAAGCAGCTGTCCAGTGGTTTGCTCCTTGTGACTGCACCTCTGTCCCTCAATCGAGTTCCTCTGCGTAGAACACACCAGAAATTTGTCATTGCCACTTCCACCAAAATTGATATCAATGGTGTAAAGATCCCCAAACTTGTCACGGATGCTTACTTCAAGAAGAAGAAGCTGCGGAAGCCCAGGCACCAAGAAGACAAGATCTTTGACACTGAGAAAGAGAAATACGACGTTACAGAGCAGCGCAAAGTGGATCCGAAAGCTGTGGACTCACAAATTACGCCAAAATTCGAAGCCATTCCCCAGCTCCAAGGTTACCTGCGTGCTGTGTTTGTTCTCACAAATGGAATTTAACCTCACTAATTAGTATTGTAGATTTCTTGCAAAGAAAGAACCTCATTAAATAAATTTGGAAAATAAAAAACAAATTTGAAAAAAAAAAAAATGATGGAGTAAAAGAGCTGAACAGAAAATTTCAAAGGACAGCTCCAAAAGCAAAGTCAAGTATTATAATGAAATGTTCAAAGAGCTGGAGTTAGAAAACCAAAAGGGAAGAACATATTCAGCATTTCTCAAGCTGGAAAAAAAAAAAAAAAAAATATATATATATATATGCAAGCCTCAAATTGCAATTTTGAAGGATTCTATGGGCAAATTATTGAATGACTCAGGAAACAGCTAAAGAAGATAGAAAAAAAATATATACAGAGTTGCTATGCCAAAAAAAAAAAAAAAGGCCAATGTTCGACCATTTCAAGAGGTACCATATGATCTAGAACTAATGATATTGAGGGACGAGCTAAAAGCTTCACTGAAGGCATTGGTGAAAACAAGACTGCAGGAATTCAGGAGTACAAATCTAAATGGTTCAACAAACTGATGTAGTGCTGGAGGCATCCACTCATCTATGCCAAGAAAATTAGGAAACAGCTACCTGACCAACTGATTAGAAAATATCATTAATATCATATGCAAGTAAAATTTTGCTGAAGAGAATTACAGGGAGCTTCCAGAAATTCCAGCCAGATTCAGAAGAGGATGTGGAACCAGAGATATCATTGCAGATGAAAGATCTTGGCTGAGAGAAGAGAATGCCAGGAAGATGTTTATTCATGCTTTATTGACTTTGCAAAGGCATTCTTTATTTCATAACAAACTATGGATAACATTACAAAGAATGGGGATTTCAGAACACTCGATTGTGCTCATGAGGAACCTTGTACATACACTAAGACGCAGTTATTAGAATAGAACAAGGGGTTCTGGTTTAAAACCAGGAATGGTATCCCATCAGCCTGTATGCTAAGTAAATAATCTAAGAAGCTGTGTTATATGAAGAAGAATGTGGCATCAGGATTGGAGGACTACTCATTACCAAACTGAGATATGCAAATGACACAACCTGCTTACTAGCAGTAAAGAGTACTTGACATAGTTAATGAAGAAGATAAAAAACTACAGCCTTCCGTATCCAGATACTGAATTGGCTATGGCACCTACATTGGATTGTATCTCAATGTAAAGAACACAAAAATCCTCATAATTGGACCAATAAATAACATCGTGATAAATGGAGAAAAGATAGGAGTTGTCAGAGACTTCATTTTGCTGGAATCCACAAAGTTGACACATGGAAGCAGCAGTCAAGAAATCAAACAATGAATCACATTAGACAAATCTGCTACAAAAGACCTCTTTAAAGTATTAAAGAGCAAAGAAATCAGTTTGAGAACTGAGGTGCATCTTACCCAAGCTTTGGCATTTTCATTCACCTCATCTGCATGTGAGAGTTAGACAGTGAACAAGGAAAACCATAGAAACATCTATCCATTTGAATTATGGTGGTGACGAATATTGAAAGTACCATGGGCTGCAAGAACAAACAAATCTATCTTGGAAGAAGTACAATCAGAGTCTTATTTAGAAAGATGGAGGGTGAGACTTTGTGTCTTGTACTTTGCTGGACATGTTGTCTAGAGAAGAACTATCCCTGGAGAGGGTCATCATGCTTGGTAAAGTAGAGTCAGCCAACAAGAGGAATACTCCTAAGGAGATGAGTTGACATAGTGGCTGCAACGATGGGCTCAAATCAAACAATTGCGAGGATGGCGCATGACCAGACAGTGTTGCATTCTGTCATACATAAGGTTGTTACGAGTCAGAACTGTCTCGACGGCACCTAATAACAGCAACAACAAGAGTTGTTATAGACAAACTTTATCTTTTCAGTCTTTTTTCTATGCATTCATACACACATCGACAAAATAGGATGATGCTTTATGCACTGTTCTTTTATTCACTTAAATATTTCTACATGTCATTAATTAGTCTTCTAAAACAATGCTTTTATGTTTCCTATTCTATCACGTAAGGAACTCTGGTAGCATAGTCATTACCAGGCTGGCTGCTAACTTTAAGGTCAGTGATTCAAAACTACCAGCTGTTGTGTGGGAGAAAGATGAGACTTTCTGCTCCCAGAAAGATTTACAGCCTCGGAAACCTTATACAGGGTCGCTATGAGTTGAACCAACTCCACAGCACATAACCACCACTATTCTATCACACCCTCGGAAACCCTGTACAGGGTCGCTATGGGTCGGAACCGACTCGATGGCACTTAACAACAACAACAACATTCTATCACACAGATATCGTATCTTATTTAGCCGTGTTAGACATTTGTATCCTTTTATATAATTCTAGTTTACAACTCTGATAATTTTGTTAGAACACAAGTCAAGAATTTCTTTGTCATAAGTATGTCCTTTTTCCTTTAATTTTCATTTTGCTCTTGAGAATATATAATATACACAGGAGAACATACAGCAAATCAACAGTTTCTACACATACATTTTAGCGACGTTGATTACATTCTTTGAGTTGTGCACCCATCCTTACCACCCTTTTCTGAGTTTTTCCTCCCTCATTATCATAAACTCAGTGCTCCATAAGATTCCTTTCTAACCTTTTGAGTTGTTGTCAATTGGATCTCGTTTAGATGGTTCTTAAGAAAGCATAATGTTCAAGGCAGACCTTTTTTTTACTAGTTAAGCTACATAATTTTTCAGTGTTAAGATGACTTCAGAGCATATTTTTGATTTAAGGTTTAAAAGTTATCTCAAGGCAGTAGTTTCAGGGGTGTATCCACCCTCAGTGACATCATGAGGATTTGAAATTTTGTTCTGCACGTTCCCCCTTTTGATCAGGATTCTTCTTTGGAATCTTTGATCCAAATGTTCATTAGTGGTAGCTGGACACCATCAGTTCTGGTTTCATGAAAAAGGAGACAGTTGTTCATGGAGGTAACATGTACTTTTTTAACAGCTATTCATATATATTATAAAATTCCCACTCCCTTGAAAAGAAGGTTTTGTGGACTCTTTTTAGCAGTCACCAACAGTAAGTGATCTTTCTCCCTCACTGTGACTACACTGGAGGCTATGTTTTGCTTCTTTTAAAATAATTTTAAGCTATTTGATAGGTAGAAAATGTTATTTGGTCTTAACATATTTTAATTTATAGTACATACATTTATAGTGCATACATTTTTATTTTCATGGATTTCATTTTTGTTTTTTTTTCCTCCTTTTCTATCAAAATGTTTTCCTTTTCTTCTATTGATTCACTAATTTAAAAAATTTTTTTTCTTTCTTAGCTGTGGCAGTGCTTTATAGATTGAGTTTATTAACTCTTTAACCCTCATATACGAGGGTGCTTCAGCAAGTTCATGGAAAAATTAAATATAAAAATAATTTTTTTTCCATAAACTTTTTGAAGCCCTCTCATATGTTTTCCCGTTTGCTACATGTACACTTAGGGTATAAAGAAGTTTAAATTTTATAAGTAATTCAATTTGCCTAACTTTATGACTTCTTAATATGCTTTTTTGCTCAGAAAGGGCTTACTGAAATTTACCTTGGGTATAATATGAGAACTCAGATTTCATTTTTTCCAAATGTTGAACCTGTTGTACTATATTCCCATGGTAACGTATTCTGTTCAAGCTGATTTGAATGCTATCTTCTATTATTTTCTAAGTATATGTATTGTGCTTTTTGGTTTTATTTTGTGTGTTTTATTTAAATTGTAAACTATATAAGCCATCTACAGAGTTCTTTTTTCTTGGGACTGTATGTCTAGGGGGTAGTGTGTGCTTCCTGATTTTTATTCACTAACCATTAAAAAAAAATCTTGTCTGTTGGGTGAAAGCCTAGTTTTAGGGTAAGCATTTGTCATTGATGGTAACTTGTTTACACTTTGTACATATTTTAGTCTTTTAGATATTCTCTTATAACCACTTAGTGAAGTACAGTTATAAGAATATGTCTAAATCTTTATTATATACTGAGGGTATATGAATTTAAGAATCATTGTTACTATTAACATGTTTTTGCACTCTATTAAGATTTAATTGTAGGTGCTTTTGGTGTGGACCGAGCTGTTTTATACAGGTGAGCATATTTCCATGGCCTATAATTTTAGGTAGTTGTGGTAGTTAGTGGTTGCGTGCCGTCAAGTTGGTCTGATTCATAGCAACTCTGTGTACAGTGTCCGAGGCTATGAATCTTCACGGGAGCAGAAAGTCTCATCTTTCTCCTGTGGAGGAGCTGGTGGATTTGAAATAACTGATTTTGTAGTTAGCAGCCCAAGTCATACCCCCTGCATATTCAAAAGCTTCATTGTTATGTGCCAGTGTTTGAATTTCAGTCATATTCTCTTGAAGTATTGATAAAAGAACTGCTCCTTTGAGTGTTTTAGGTTGTAATCTCTATAGGAGCAGATGACTAGTCTCTCCTGTGGAGCTGCTGATTGAATTTAAATGACCAACCTTTTGATAAACAGCCCTGTGTTTAACCACGGTGCCTCCAGGGCTCCTTATCAAGATTTATAAAGGTAAATAATATTTATGCAAGAGAACCCAAGGCAGAGAAAATGTAGTTATTTTTATTTAGAAAATTTTTCATCTTTAAATTATGTTCAAAGATAGTCTGTGTTTTAAATTGCTTTTAAAAATTATCTGAGTTTACATTTTCTTATAAGAGATAAAAAATTAACATGGTGCTTCTAGTACAATATTTGGTGACCATAAAGGCAGTATTTAATGAGTTTAAAAGTGAGTTTATTATTAGAGAAATATGATGAAGTTCATGTAGTTCATTTTCCAATTTTACACATATTCCCAAGTCATCCTTTGTATTTCATCATTTCATTGGTGCTAGTGGTTAGGGTGGAGTCCTGGTGTGGCGCTGTGGGTTAATGCTCCAGAATGCAAAGGTTTGAACTGCAAGGTCAGTGGTTCAAGCTCACCAGCTGCTCCTTGGAAACCCTATACAGGGTTGCTATGAGTTGGAACCACTCTATGGCACTTAACAACAACAAGTTGTTAGGGTTTCTGTCAAGTTGGTTCCAACTCATAATGACCCTATGTAGGGCTTCTGAGACTAAATTTTTATGAGAGCTGAAAGTCTCAGTAAGTCTTAAAATATCATCTGACCTCCCAAGTAGATTATGATTTTTGCAGCTTCTATGGGCTGTGCTTGCACATGGCGTGAAAACTAACAGAATTTATCATAGGTCAACTTAATTGCTGCTATGTTGTTGTTCTGTACCGTGGAGTTGGTTCCCACTCATAGTGACCCTGTACAGGGATTCTGAAGCTGTAAATCTTTATGGGAGCAGAAAGCCTCATTTTTCTCCCGCAGGACAGCTGGTAGTTTCAAACTGCAGACCGTGAGATTAGCAGCCCGATTTGTAACCACTACGCTACCAGAGCTCCTTAATTGTTGCTATAGAGACCCAGTGTGCCTGATTTGAAAACCATAAATCCCTGTGATTTTTTAAGTGTCCCTAATTGTTGCTATGTTGTTGTTGTTAAGTGTCGTCGAGTTAGTTTCAACCCATAGCGACCCTGAACATGGTTTTCAAGGCTGTAAATCTTTACGGGAACAGAAAGCCTCATCTTTTTCCCACAGAGCAGCTGGTAGTTTCGAACTGCTGGCCTTGTGGTTCACAGCCTGATTTGTAACCACTACGCTACTTAAAAATCACAGGGATTTATGGTTTTCAAAACAGGCATCTGGCCTAAACCTTCATTAATTTTTAAAGACTTAGAACCTGTGCATCTAATTTTCGCAAACTGGATTTTAATTTACTGTTTAAGTTTTTTAAATATATGAAATAATCTAATAATGGAATCCTAGTGTAATGAATGGTGTAGGAGCTCTGGTAGCATAGTGGTTATGAATTGGGCTGCTAATATCAAGGTCAGCAGTTTGAAACTACCAGCGGTTCTGCGGGAGAAAGATGAGGCTTTCTGCTCCTGTAAAGATATACATCCTCGGAAACCCTTTGCAGGGTTGCTATGGGTTGATGGCCCTTAACAACAACAAGTGTGATGTTGTAGGATTAGCACTTGGCTGCTAACCCCAAGGTTAATGGTTCAAACCTACCACCAACTTCCTGCAAACTCTACACAGGATCAGTATGAGTCAAAAGTAACTTGACAGCACTTAACAACAACAATGAAAAAATACCTGTGTATGGAGGATCAGCCCTGCTCTGGGAACCACAAGCTCAGTGGTTCAAAACCAGTCGCTCCTTGGAAAATGTATACAGGTTCTCTATGAGTCAGAACTGATTCACCTCTCTTAACAACAGTGGATTCCTGATGTGGCACTGTAGGATAAAGCACTGAACCTCAAGGTCAATTTGAACCACAGTGCTGGCGGTTGAAACTCACAAGCCACTCCTCTGAAACCTTATATAAGGTTGCTATGAGTCAGAACCGATTCGATGGTACTTAGAAACAATAGCATGGTAAAAATTAAGATAATTCAAAAGTGGCATAAAATTTTTTTTAAATACATTTTCTTCTATATCAGCCACTATTTTATTTGTATATCCTACCAGAAATATTCTATACATAAAAAGTGTGTGTGTGTGTGTGTGTGTGTGTGCATTTATATATACATACACATGTATCCTGTATACCTAGTGATTTTTGTGTTTTATTCTTCAACTAAAATTATACCTTGGATATATCTTAGAGATCATTGCATGGCAGCACAGATGAATTTACAGTATTCATTTTTCCCAAGGTATTTGGAATTGGGTAGGTATTCATAAACTCATTTAACTAGTCTCCTCTTAGGAATTGTTTTTGTTAAGTGCAGTTATGTCAAGTCCGACTCAGAGTAATACTGTGTAGAGTTTGTGAGGAGAAGCTGGTGGGTTTGAACCATTGACCTTGAGGCTAGCAGTCCAGTGTTTATACTACAGCACCCCACAAGGATGAAATTTAGTAGACTAAGTTTAGTTCCAGTGTGCTAGGGGGGTTCCTGGACACAAGGACTTTCAGCACTAAAATGAGTATGTTGTTGTTGTTAAGTGTCCTTGAATGAATGCTCCCTCTTAATGACCTGTACACGGTTTCTGATGAGAAGCTGGTGGGTTTAAACCACCGACTTTGTGATTATCAGCCCAGTGCTTATGGTGCAGCACCACATAAGGAGTCCAGATTAAGGATGGTGGTTCCGATTCACAGCGACCATATCTACCTAGACTTCCTAAAGCTGTAAATCTTTATGGGAGCAGAAAACCTCATCTTCCTCATGTGGAACCGCTGATAGTTTGGAACTGCCGACAGTGAGACTAGAACCCTGATTTGTAATCGCTACGCTACCAAAGCTCCTTTGTTGTTGTTGTTGTTGTTAAGTGCCGTGGAGTCAATCCCGACCCATAGCGACCCTGTGTAGAGCTCCTTTAGACCTGGCCAAACCTGGATAGCTGGCCATCCTACATTTATTTAGGTTGTTTGGGGGGTTTTTTTCTTTATTAAACATTGCACTTTATATGCTGTAGCTGAACCTGAAATATTTAGGACAGTATAACACTTATTTTTCAATAACTCTTTTTCTACTGTTTTCATTTTTTACCAGGGCCAGACCAGTTATCACTGTAAATGCTGGCGTTGATGTATACCCTAGCATTTTAAATCAAGATAATAAGACTTGTCCACTGCCTGACACAGCTCTCAAAGTTTCCTGGTAAGGACATTTGTTGAATGGGAGTTATTATCGTGACTGTTGATTTGCCATTCATAAAAATGAAGAAAGTATTGAAATACTGCTAAAGCAAGTTCTATAGATAAACAGTAAAAAGTCATCCAGAAATCTGCAGAAATAATTTACAAGCTAGAATAAAATTATGTTTAAAAATACAAACACATGTGTAGACATGTTTCATGAATATATTTGGAAAGAAGAAATGACTGATGTTTAATTAAGATCTCAGCGTTTATATTTAATTCTAAATAGGTATATAGACACTTTGATTTTTTAAAGACATATTCCTTTTTAGATTTCGTAGAATACTTGTTTTCTTTACTAATTTCTAAAGAAAAAATGCAATATTGTTTTGAAAGTTCAGTGTCTGAATTTGTGTTTTCAAGTCTACATTTTTAGATGCTATTTTTCATAACTTTTGCTATATTTACATTCTACCTGTATTGTTTTCTTAATTTTTTCCTTTAAATGCATTCACTTTATTGCCTTTAAAATATTTTTAAATAAAACTAAGTTTAAAAGCTAGGATTTTCCTGACATGTCAAAATAAACATAATGTGATCAAAAATTTGACTCATATACTATGAAAATCAAAAATCACATGCTGCATTTGATCATATACTAAGTGTTTGCTCACACAGAAATTAGAATTTATAGGTAAAAGTAGAATAATTGAAGCAAGAAAAGCTTAAAAAAACAAACAATTTTTTCCCCTAATTTTTGATGTAGATTTATTACTGTATTATTGTTGTAGTTACTAAAAATTACCTTATAAAAAGTTTTTTATTAGACGCGCTGGGATAAAATTATGTTTAAAAATATAAACATAGTGGTTACGAATCAGGCTGCGAATCTCAAGGCCAGCAGTTCGAAACTACCAGCCGCTTCGCGGGAGAAAGATGAAGCTTTCTGCTCCTGTAAAGATTTACAGCCTCGGAAACCCTGTACAGGGTCGCTATGGGTCGGAATCGACTTGACGGCACTTAACAACAACAATAACACATGAATATATTTGGAAAGAAGAAATGACTGAATCTTGGTAGTGTTTGCTCTTCATTGTTATTGTCAATGAAATTGGCTGCAAGACTTAGACTTTACTTTCCATTGGATTTTTTCTCTTCATTCACCCTTCTTGTCCCTCATAAGTTGCTAATAGTGTACTTACCATTATGCTTATAATTCAAAGGTTTCAAATGCACTAGAGTAGGAATTTTCCAATGTTTTTGACCAAGGCACATGCTAAGAAATGTATTTTACAACATAACCCAGTAAACACACATAACTGATGAAATAATTCAAGTTTAGTAAAATAGTATCCTTAAATTTAAAGTTAGTTTTTATTTTTTAAAATGCTGACTACAATCCATTATTATAGTTCTAATAATATTTTCTTGCATCTTGGTGAAAGTCTGCACAGCAAGTTAAGTTCCTATTGGACAGTTGCCACACAAAGTGTTCAGTTACATAGTTACATGTATCACAAAGTGTCATCACTCTCTTTAACTGTCTTCTGTTTATATCCTTTCCCTGTCTCTTTATATTATCATCTTTGCTTTTGAGAAATTGTTGATGTTGGGTCTCGTATTGGTGGTTTTTAAGTAGGCACCAATGTTAGGAGTTGTTGTTGTTGTTATTAAGTGCCGTCGAGTTGGTTTCAACTTACAGTGAGGAGTGGCTGGTGGGTTTAAACTGCCGATCTTGAGGTTCAAACTGACCTTGTGGTCCAGTGCATTACCTTGCAGTGCCACACCAGGACTCCATGTTAGGCTTAATATCCGTTATATTGTGTGCCATTCTGCTAAAAGGTGATTCGGATAGAGCCTTAATTCTAGGTTTACAGATGTCCCAAGGGTTTTACTCCATTCATATCATCATAGTCAACTCTGTTTTGAGGAGGCAGGTCTTCCCCAGTTGTATTTTGAGTGCCTTACAACCTGAGAGGCCCATCTTCTGGCAATATATCTGAAAATATTCTGGTACTCTTCATCATGTTTCAGTATTCAATATCCTGGTACTGACAGTGTTCCACTGCTAATCATAAGGTTTTCAGTGACTATGTATTCGGATGTAGTCTGTCTCTCCTTCCTCGTCTGTCTTTATCTGGAAGCTCATCTGAAACCTGTCCACCATGGGTGACCCTGCTGGTATTAAAATACCCTTGACATAGCTTCCAGAATTACAGAAATACACAAGCCACCTTAGTACAACAAACTAACAGACAAGTGGTTGAACAAATATATATGTATGTGTGTGTGTGTGTGTATTTGTTGTTACGTGCCGTTGAGTCAATTCTGACTCATCGCAACTCTTTGTAGAGTTTCCGACGAGCAGCTGGTAAGTTTGAACCACCAACCTTGTGGTTCAAACAACCATGCAGTCCTGTGCTTATTCTACAGTGCCAAACCATGACTATGTGCACTTACTTATAATTATTATGTCTTGTTACTAGTATATAATGTCCTTCTTTTTCACTTTTAATTGAGTTTGATTAAAAGCCTCTTTTTTATGGTATTGGTATGACCACCCCTGTTCAGTTTTGTTTACTGGTTACATAGAATACTTTTCTCCATCCTCTGTTCAGTATTTGTGTCCCTATGTCTAAGGTGTTTCTTGTAACAGCAAAAGAATGAATCATGTTTATTTATCCAGTCTGCCACTTTCTGCTTTTTGTATGGGGTGTTTTAGACTTTGTTTTGTGTTTTGTATCTTCAGGGTTTTTGTTTGTTTGTTTTTTGTTTGTTTGTTTTTGTCTGTATTTGGGTGCTTTCTTGTGATTAGCCTTTTTGTTATCCTCTTTCATGTCTCTTCTTGATTCAGAATCATATGACCCTGCATTGGGTTTTCAAGGAATGACTACTGGGTTTGAACTACCAGCCTTTGGTTAACAGTCCAGTGCTTATCCTACAGCGCCACAGCAGGATTCTACATATGTTACATTACACAATTTACAACTATAACAACGTGTAGTGTATGAACAATTATTAATATACAACCTTAGCATAATATATCTATTCCTGATATGCCTTTCGCTTCCCCATTTCTGTTTGTGTGTCTCCGTTAATATCAACATACAACCTACAAACAATAAGTTTATTTTGTACGTATTTTTAAAATGCATTTGACCTTTCCGTTTGGTTTGCTCTGTTAAGTTAATACTTGCAAAGTGGCAAATTCCCAAAACTTCATGAAGATGTCTTGATTTCCTCTTCAGTTTTTTTGTTTGTTTTTTTTCACCGCTTCAGTTTTGAATGGCAACTTTGTTGGGCAAAAAACTCTTGAGATTGATGATTGTTTTATTTCAGCACATCACTCTAGTGTCTTCTGGCCCCCAGAGTTCTTGGGGAGAAACTCAATGGTTCTTATGGATGTCTTTCAGTATGTTACACTGTTTTTCTCTTGCTGCTTTCAAAATTATTTCCTTGCCTTTTGTTTTCAAGAATTTTGTTAAGATGTGTTATGGAGTTGATATTTTTGTGTCTCTTCAAATAGGGGTTCATATAGCTTCCTGAAGACTTGGTTGTCTGTTTGGGTCTGGAATACTCTCTCTGATTATCTCTTGGAAAATTGTTTCTGTGCCTTTATTATTATTATCAAATGCCCTGGGATTCCAAGAAATCTAATGTTAGTTTTCTTAATTGGGTTTGTTTTCTTTTTTTTATTCTTTTCTCTTGCTGCTCTTGAGACTTGAATAAGTCCAGTTTTTTTGTCTTCTAGTTCACTTAGTCTGTCTTTTGTCTTTTCTTTATTGAGTTGTTTGCCTTGACTTTTGTCATTCAAGTGTCTTCTTCTTTGGTTCTAGTAGTCTCTCTTTGTCTTTTTTTCCTTGATGTTTTCAGTTTTCTTTGTTAATTTTCTCATTTTGTTCCTTCATTTGTTTCCTGGATTCTGCTATTTTGTTTTTGGTGTGTTTTCTGTTTTCTTTAAATATATTTAGCACTATAGTTTGAAAACGATCAATTCTTTGCATTATCAGGCTACCATAGACTTTCTTGTCTTCATGTTTTGCTTTTGATGTTTCCTTCTCCTGTGATTTTATGCATCGTATTATCTTTTACTGAACAGGGCCATTTCATTCGTTCTTTCTTCTTCTTCGTCTTTTTTTTTTCTCTCTCTCTCTCAGTTTTGTATCTTATTTTTTGAGGAAGAATTTTCTGATTGAGCACCTTGGCTGTCATCCACAAAGGCCAGTGCCCACATTCACTTGTCACTCTCAGGAGATTTATGCTCCTGACAACCTGGCAAAGACTCACAACCCTGAGAACCCTACAGGGCAGTGCTCCCCAGCCCTGCAGTTTCAGTATGAGACAGAATGCTCCCTAGCAGTTGGTAACCTGCTCCTGAGAACCAATAGATGGCACCCTTGCCCTTAGGTTGTTTTGTTTTGTTATGTTTTTCCTGTACTGGTTCATTAGTTCTGTATGCTTGGTCTCTGGAATTTAATATGCGTGTGTGGGACATCAGGCATTTAATCATTCGGAGTTGCTGAACCCCGTGATAGGACTCAATTTTTCGTGTACTGATATAGGCCTTTCCTTTGCCAGTGTCCTTGCACAGATACTCCAGTGGTATCTTGCTTTGGGCCAGTATCCTTTGTCCCTGTCAGTCTAAAATATGCCACTCACCATGCTGCCTTTGCAATTCCTCCTGGCCCTTGTACCTGTCTGTCAGGGGCCCCACAGTGACTCAGTGACACCACTATTTTCTCTTTGCCCCCTCCCAGTTATGCAGTTTATGAACTTCCATGGCCAATTTGCACTGCCTTAGAAAAAATTGGGCTAGAACTTCTTCCCATTAGCTCCTTTTCTGTGTTCCGTGTTTGAGGTATTGCCAAGACCCCTCCCAAAATAAGCAAATGTTCCTAATGTTAGTGGCTACAATCTCCTGGTTCCTAAGCTGACTCTATTCTTCCTCTCCCTTTGCTTGGAGACTCACCCCAAATCAGCTGCTGTCTGTAATTCTGAAATCTCAGTCTGTGCTTGCTTTTATTTGGTTTTCAATGAGTCCGTTGCTGGGGGAATAAATGAGATCATTCCCTTCGCAGTCTTACCTGGCCTCAACCCATTAAATTCAATTTCATGACACATTAATAAACTGTGAAAAACATTTTCCCAGAAGCACTTGTTAATTAAAGCAACCTTTTTAGCTTCTTTAGTTAAATGAGACATTATTTTAATCTGGACTGTCATTTTCCTCATTCAGATTTACCAACAGGTTTTATAAACTTGAAAGAAAGTTAGGAGATTCTTTTTCTTCTTGTTTTTTCTCATCAAGGTACCATAAAAGGAAATGTACCTAAATTAATAAAGGGTGATTTAAGATTATTCTGTATAATTTCATGTTTCAAAAATAATATTAAGGCTTTCATCTTTGCCATGAGACCTGAAAATGGTACCTGGCTACCATTACTGAACATTTTGACAAAAGATTCTATAGAGGAATTCTGGTCAAAAGGTGGGCAATGTAGAATGGAATTTCAAATTCTCATAGGCTTCAAATTTTCTGGAGCCACATTGGCTGGGTTAAACTCTGAAATTATTACCCTGAAATAAAATACACC